GTNGGAGAGAAGAGGAGGAAGGGAGGGAGGAGAGGGAGGGAGGGAGGAGAGGGAGGGGGTAGGGAGGGCGGGGGAGAGAAGAGGAGGGAGGAGGAGAGGGGTAAAGAGGAGGGTAGGGCATGAGGAAGGGAAAGGGGACTGTAACGGGATCGGGGGCCGAGAAGGGGAGCGGAGCACAAGGGCGGGGTGTCGAGGTCAGAGAGGAGAGAAGGGTGTGTGTGAGGCGGAGGATGTGGCGGCGGCGGCGGCGGTGGGGGCAGGCTGCCGCTTCAGGGAAGAGTCATCCGGCCGAGAAATATCACCCACGGAGCCACATGCTCCGGCCCCTTGTACAGAGCAATAGGGAAGTGCAAATAGTGGTAAAAAAGAGACACATGAGCCTCGACGCAGGATTGTGGTGATGCTAACCTTGTCTCACCTCACCTCACCTCACCTCACCTCACCTCACCTCACCTCACCTCACCTCACCTCACCTCACCTCACCTCACCTCACCTCACCTCAGGTCAGCTCACGCACATACATTACCCTAACCCCCGGGTTCCTAGGTCCTGCACCTCTGCCCCCACGCGCTCCACATCACCGCTGTCCCGCCCCGCCCACCCATCTAAAGACCATCTAGACAGGTCAGCTCAGCTCGGCTCACCTCTAGCGGCAGGTCCTTGTCAACCCCCGCCTCCACCAGCGCCTTGACCACCTCCACATGCCCCGCAAGGCAGGCGCTGTGGATGGGCGTGTAGCCACCCTGGCGACGAGAAGGGGGGAGAGGGGAGGCAGCAGGTAAACGATGAAAGGATGTGGCGAACACACGGATAAGAGGATGACACGTCACCTCCATCCACCGCCACCACTTCTCCACCAACAGAACCCCACAGGCGCCAGAGGCCCAATGTAGGCCCCAAGCCGCCCCATAAACACACCAAGCTGGGTACCAAGCCCGGGGTCATGACGATACGACTTCGAACCCAAAGAAACCAGCATCAACGTTGCCCGCAGCATTTCATGCCGGACAGCTGCCGTACATACCCTCAGCTTAATAAGCTTGTTGGCTTTCTTCGCGACCAGCGCCTTCACCACCTCCACCCTGTTGTTCTGCGCCGCCACGTACATGGGCGTCGCACCGCTCTGCGATATCAACCAAACAACACCGACGAAAACATCAGCCAATGACACAACAATTTAACGCACATATGTATAAAACAGTCTGACATGTTCGTTACGTAGGAACGCACAGGACGATGCGACTCCCAGGTAGGAGGGTGAGGGCAATGGCCGTACCCAAGGCCCCTGGGTGGGGCCTTAGGTAACCCCTATACAACGACATCACTCAACTCACTCACTGATGCACTGGGAGGAATCCCCTCTGCTGCTACTGCTACGGCTACTGCCACGGCTACTGCTGTTGCTACTATAGTACCCCGAGCTAGTGACTACAGCGATTAGTGACTACAGCAGCCTCTCCCACACACACATTCCCTTAAACCCCCCAAGCCCCCAACACCTGGAAGGTGCACTCGGTATTGGCTCCCGCCTTGAGCAGTATGGATATCACCTCTATGTGGCCCCGCTCTGAGGCGATGTACAGCGGAGTGGCCTTGTCCTGCAGGTGGCCCGGGGGGGCAGGGGTGGGTGGGCTCAGTGTGCGTGTGTTTGTGTATGGATGTGCGTGGGCACAGAGAGGGTGCGTGTGTATGTATATACGTATGTATGTGTGCATGGGCGTACCTATGGATGAGCGTAGGCGTGTGTGTGAAGGTGTGAGGGGAGGGAAGGAAGCGTGGAAGGT